AATCCCTTCTCAAATTAGATTATCACCCTTCACTAGAGGCTAGGATTGATTACACAATGTTGAGGGCTATCATTCGATCCATAATAAGTGCCAATGGGAGAGCATAGTGGAAATGAACAGTAGGCTTTTATCCTACCAGAGTTGAGTGGCTATCAACTACTTATCAGTGTTCTCTTGTGAAAGATACACAGTCTCCCGGGCAGTTAAGAATGTAAAATGGATTAATTGAAAGAATAAGGCAGTTAATGCAGTCACCGTCCCTTATAAATTGACTAGAGTAAGTCAAGAAGTATTGGTAGAAATTTATAGACCCTTTTATAAGACAAAAGTGCAGAGTGTGAAGCTTTTATTTTTTGACAAATTCTCTGGGTCTGTACGCTTCTGAAGGCAGCTTCTATCTCTAACCCTTCCCTGAAGAATCCCGCGCTTGTGGCCTTCAATGTATGCCTGTGAAAACGCCAATTTGATGTTCCTTTTAAATGATCTTGGAGTTTGGGGAACCAAAAGATGGCTGGGCCAAGAGTAGAGATGTACGGTGGGTGGGGTCAGGTTCCCAATGAAATTCCTATCGGACAGCCTTGCTACCCTTGAATGAACGGGCACATTGTCATGATGGGGGGGAAATTCTTGACATTTTTCTCACGATGCAGTTTTCCATTTTCTTAGAGCTTATTCATAGTAAGTCCTATGACTAATCTCTGTTCTTCAAGAAAACCTATTACCTACCCCTCTGGGATCCAAGAAAACAGCCACTCTGACCTTTTGAGCTGACCTCTCTGTCTTGAATTTAGTTGGCTCAGCAGGTCCCCAGTGTTGGAAGCCAGTGTTTTGATTGGACCTTATTTCTGAAGGACCCCTAATGAGACAAAGACAAGTGTGTTACTGAGAGAGCTTGTCTTCAGCCATCCACCAGTCTCCGAGACACTGGGAGTACACAGGGGTGTGAACTGGAACCTCGTTAGCCGACCTTGGTGATTTACTGATGCCTGGCTTATGACTTGGAAGCCATTGTAACCTCCATTCCACTGGCCTCCTTTTGACAGCCTTGCTTTTCATCTTGCCCTCAAATGTCAGGTCATTTGACCCCCTTGCCCTCAAATACAACTCTAATAAAAGTCAAAGTACATTTTTCTGAATGTTTTGTACCAAAACATAGATTCTCATTCAGAAGAGCAAGAAGAACCCTGCTTTAGACATTTTTCTTATATTGAAAAATGTTTTTCGCAGCCAACAGTCTCTTTTTTCTTTATCCCTTTCATGTCTCAAAACATTCATGTCCTCTGCCGTGTTGTCACCCCGCCACCTCCCACCCCAGCAGTCAGCCCTGCTTTTGTGACTTACCTGGCGTCCTGACGCTGGCTCCTGGGCTGGGGTGTGTGCTAGAACATCTTGTCATTTATCTCCCTGGTTATATTTAAACTTTTAATCTAGTAAAATTGCCCTCATCTGGATTCTAGACACTCTCTAACTTGGTGACTATTGAGGGGAAAACACAACAAATAGCTTTTGTTAAAAACACTAACAGGGACCAGACTTTATTGTGTTGTTATAAAATTTCTTAAGCTGCAATTCCTGTGACTACATATTTATTGCCTTAAATGTTTTGCTATGTGCTATTTTATAGTAAGGCAGTATGTCTCTAAGGGGAGACTGGAAGGAAGTCTTTGCACTGTATTGAAGAATAATCATGCTAAGAAAGAAAGAGCTATGGGCTACATGTTCAAATAATAGAGCAGCGGCTCTCAAACTGGGGGTCGCCCGATTCATAACAGTAGCAAAATGACAGTGACGAAGTAGCAATGAAAATAATGTTATGGTTGGGGGTCCCCACCACATGAGGAACTGTATGAAAGGGTTGCGGCATGGGGAAGGTTGAGAACCGCTGTAATGGAGTGTTAGGAATTTGAGGACCTGCTCTCAGAGCAGTGATATTTGAGCTTGATCTCTGAGATGGGTGAAGTTGGGAGAGACCGGGAGCTGTAAGGTGTGGATTTTTGGAAACTACAGATCATTCTCATTTGTTATTTTAGTATCCATATATTCCTGCACATATTACAAAGCCTAAGGAACACAAGAAGTTATTTCTGGTTCAACTTCAAGAGAAAGGTAAGTTATTTCAGTATTTTTAAGGTAACCTAAAAACTTCCATAATTCCATGGATACCTCAGTCATGCTTCCTCCATGTTCCTTGATGTTCACTGTAGAACTGACAGCACACCCAAGCTTGTGGAGTCACCTCCTGTCTCTCTCAGACATGTCTCTTGTGCTACAGATAATTGAACTAAACCCCACATGCCAACTTACCGTCCCTTTATCTCCTGAAACTATTTGTCATAAGAAGCCTCGTCGCTGTTGGGTGGTAAATGATGGGCAGGCCTCACAGACAGTACCTGTTTGACCCTTGAAGGTCTGGGGCCATCCTGCATCGTGCTGGTCTGTCGGTGCCTCTCTCCAACGCATGTGCTCAGTTCCTGTCGGATTTTGGTAAATCTCACAGTATTTCAAATGTTCTCATGAGGCTATTGCATATGAGCTATTGCATACTCAAGACTAGCACAATGGAAACATAACTTTTACATTCAACAAGAAGCCAAGGAAATGCACGTGGCTGACTGTTGCAATACTCACTTCACTGGGGTGGTCTGGAACCGAACCTGCAGCCTCATAGGTGTGCCTATGTTGAAAATTTTGGGAGACAAATAAATTGTTTTAAAGAAACGAATTGTTTTAATACCATCTTTGGGCCTGCTGTCAGTTTTATTAAGTAATCGTTTCATTTCTTATACCACTCTTGTAACGGAATCTAAAATAACTTCCAAACCTGAGGTCTCCCTGCCCCCGTCCCCAGTGCGGGTGAGGTGCCAGTGGTAGAGGTCTGTGTAGAGGAGGCGCTGTTTCAGAGCTGTCCCTCTGAACACTCACTGAAAGGCACAGAGTGTCTTTACCGAGAATGACTGTTTTCCATAAACGTTTTTGTCTTGAGACAAATTTTCCTCAAATGTAAAATTGCTGTGATTCATGTAGCGTGAAATGGAAGGAAGGAGTGATTATTTGGGGAGAAAAATGAGAGAAAATGGAAAATAAATATGGTTCTGGATTTTTTTGGTTTTGGGGGTTATTTTTTTTAGTTTTTCTGTTTCCCTATTTTTTAAAAAATTTAAATAATTTTATTGGGGGCTGCCACAACTTGTGTCAAAATCCATATATCCATCCATTATGTCAAGCACATTTGTACATTGCCATCTTCATTCTCAAAACATTTGCTTTCTATTTGAGCCCTTGGTATCAGCTCATTTTCCCCCTCCCCGCCCCCTCCCTCATGAACCCTTGATCATTTATAAATTATTATTATTTTTTCATGTCTTACATTGCCTGGCGTCTCCCTTCACCCAATTTTCTGTTGTCCGTCCCCCAGGGAAGGGGTTATATGTAGATCCTTGTAATCAGTTCCCCCTTTGTTTTGTTTATTTTAGCCTTGTTTGCAGTCCCCAAAAATTACAAGCTGGTAGCTGCACCACTGTTTGAGTTGTATGACAACGCGCCAGGATATGGACCCATCATTTCTAGTCTCCCTCAGCTCTTGAGCAGGTATGAGACGCTGACCATTGTGGTTTACTCTTACAAACTCCAAGGTTAGTTGTTTGGAGCCACTTGAGAAGCGTAGTGCATGAGTTTTGTCTTTAAAGAAACTTTTCGTTGTAGTTTAATGACTGACAAAAAGTTATTAGTTACCTAGGGTAACTCCTCTAATATAAATTTGATCGTACTTGCAGATAACTTTGATGTTTATCTCCAAAGAAGAAATGGTGAAATACTATTGTATAGATGGGGTCTGGGGTGTAAGGGCAAAGATTGTACATGCAAAAATGTGGAGAATCAACTATAAAATGAGGACGAATCTGGGGGAAAAAATGAGGATGAATCCTTCAAAGAATATAAAGACCTAGTAAAATAACAGATAAGGTACTTTGATAGCCCAGTAAATAGAAGTTTTGAAACAATAAGAGTAGTGGTTTGGGCATTCCAGGAAAGCGTGTTGAGTGTAACGTCGTCTTTTTACTTGGCCACTAACCAGATGTCAGTGGTGGTTCCGCTGCTTTGGCGCACGAGTGGGCTGAGAGCTGAACTAGAGAGTATGGAAAGAGTCCTACTGTTCATTTATTGCAGCTCTCTCACAAGTGTAGGGACCTGTGCTGAGTGAGGAGAATAGGCCAATGTTTAAGAATCATCTCCTCCCTTTAAGGCTCTTTTTAAGGCAGCCTTACTTTATTTATTTTTTTAAATTATAAGTATTTTTGCTATTTAATCCTTACAATGTGATAGAGAAAAGTGTGTTTTGTTTTAGAAAGAAATCCAGGTACGTTTCCTTATTGTCTAAGGTAGAAGCTAGGTATATGACATTGTTCTTAATTAGGAATGTTGTTCTCTAAATGCAGGTTCAATTTTATATACAACTGATTTCCTGCGCAGTGGAGAAGTCGAAGAAGCCGTCTCTATGAGCACAGCGGTCCACAGTGTAGAATAATAAACATGGTAGACAAGGTTTGGGTCTCTCCCTCCCCCAACCCCTAAACTGCTCCCCATTTTCTATCGTTTGGGTAGTAAAGTAACTATGAACAACTAGGTAGTGGTGTAAACACGTGATAATGCTTAATTTACTTTGAGTTCTACTTAAACTTTTTTTGTACAATATTAAACAAGTGGACTTTCTATTTGTATTTTTTTTTTACAACTTTACATTAAACTTTAAAAATTTTCACAGGTAAAGATGGAATTTTATTTTCCTTCCAGGCTGGTGAATGTTAAGGACACTGCCAGATTTAGTCCATTCAAATGCACTGGACCCTTCCTCAGTACCATTCTTGGGGGCATGTACTGAAGGCAGCTTTATAGGTTTGTATGGTGAGGCACTTACATTCCTTTTAGGACCTAGTTTGCTTGATTGAGCTCACAGTACACAGACAAAACACACACACTCTCTCTCTCTCTCTCTCTCTCTCTCTCTCTTTCGCCAACTGGTAACAGGTTAGGAGTCCAGATGTTGCTTCACAAGTAACAGACTTTAGCATATAGGAAACTAGTACAGTAGGCCAGGTTGGCAAAGTCATGGGAATTGATGAAAAATACTATTTAGAGCTCCCCCCTCCCCTTTCACATAACAGGTATTAATATATGTTTTAATTGTCTTGGTTATGGTGAAAATAATGATCTGTGAATGGAGTTTCTAAAGTGGTCCTGTTAGATTTGGAACTCTTAGATATTTATTGGACATTACTTCAGCTAACTTGTTGTTATAGCCATAGATGAAAATTTATCTTTAGCGTGTGGCACAAACCATTCCAGAAACAACTTGGACTCTGAATCAGCTGAAATCTAGGGGCAGGAGGAGGGATAGATTTTTGCCAGCTTATGAGGAAAATACAAGGTTTAAGAACTTTTTAAAACTCTGCCAAATTAGGATTAAATTTGGGGAAATAAAAGAATTTTAGGGCAAAGGAGTTTGCTGGTTGTGTCCTTCCGTAGTGTCCAAAGTAGACTGTGGACGTCTTACAGGTCTGTTGACTGTAGGTATAATATAAAACAAATCTTGTATGATGCAACTATAGTTCACTATTCAATAGATAAAAACGAGCTTTTGATTAGGTTTTAGGCCTTTTTGGTTCTGATGATAGTACTGAACTGAATACTGGGTGATGTGAAAGGTAGGTCGTTTTTTCTTTCCTGCGTAGACTTGAGAAAATCAGTTATTTCATAAGCGTTCATGTTTCTTTAATTGAGGTTATGTCAATCCTTCACCTGGTTGAGTATCAGGTGGTGCTTGTAACTATGCTCTTGCTCAGTGGTAGGGAGGAGCAGTCTCCATGACTACAAGCGGCCTGTGATTCCCTCTGGGGCCATCATTAATTCTGTCGGTAGCCCTCTTCCCTTGAGGGCTGAGAGTCCTGCCTTCCTCGGGTACGTGGGCACGCGTCTTAGGTAGACGCATGTGGCTGGCAAGATCACCAAAACCGAGACCTGTAAGACTGGGAAGTGGGGGGCGGGAGGGGCCAGAGGATGAGGTTAGAAGTTGATCCAGCCCATTTTCCACCTTTCTCTTTGGGGGTGGAAGAAGGTGGGATTTTTCAAGGTGTGATGCTGTCAGTAAGGAGTGTTTGTGGTGAAGGCCTCGGATTTGAGGCCAGTCATCTCCTTTTGTAACTTATCCTTCAACCTAGACATTCATTCTCAGCCGCCTGCCATTATAAGGACTGCAGTCAGTCATCCATTTACTGGTTAGCCATTCATCCATTATGTAAGTGAGAGAAACCTTTGATTTCGCCGGGCTGGGATATCTCTCTCACATGGAAGAGGTCTAGTTGAATGTAAAACTCCTTTCCGAGGCTGGTTTGACAGCATCTTCCTCTTGCGGGACGAGGGAGGGCACACCAGCAGCTGCACAAACAAGCTTTCAAAGTTGTCTCTGCTCTGGTCAGGTGGGCTTGGAATCCAGTGCTTGCTTGCTTGTAGGGTTCTTGATGGAAACGGTCAGAGCTTTGTATTTTCTTTTCTCTTGTGGATGGGGTTTGATGGAGATAGTCAAATGAAAGGACTTCAAATCTGCTTCGATAGCTTTAGAAAGAGGGCACAAAGATCCTGTTTTACTCCACGCTCTTTTGATATGAGTTGTCCTCGCCCTTCTTTCAGAACTAATGGTCTGACATCGTGCTTTCAGCTTAGCAGCTACTCGTTCCTGGGGGGTTTCTTCAGGCCTTTATTTTGGTGTCGACTCCCCAAGAGGGCTGCCAGCCAGCCCTCATCTGCATTGTGTAACTGCAATGGAGACCACGCTGTTTCCTCGAGGACCCAAGGAGCCCACAATCTTCGTAAACACTGACTGACTGGCACTGTAAAGTGCTTAGTAGATAGAAGAAAAGACTGAAATTTTTACTCCATTGTTATTTCAGTATAGTTAGAATTGACATCTTTATGAAGAAATGAAGCTTGTTTTTTGTAAGTAATGAAGACCACTGTGATTTTTTTTTTAAGTAGGTAATACTGAAAATGGCATTATGCTAATGCTAATTCCCTCTGATTTTGTACTGTTATTTATCATTGTTTTACCTAGAACCTGGTATTCTGTGATTCAGTTATTATTGGGGGCATTTAAGGACTCCATTAAGTTAGCATCGTATTTGGACAGAATGTAACTAGCCAGTCTACTTTGTTGTTAATTAGACTCCAGCAATAGAGGGTCCTCCAAATTCCGCAGGCCGGCCAGCGCTCGGCCTGAACTTCTCTCTCTCTCTCTCTCTCTCTCTCTCTTGTGATGGGACTCTGGCTCTCAGCTCCCCAGTGACTCCATTTTTAAGGACTGCTCAGTCACTTGAGAGGAAATACTAGGAGGAGCTCTTCCACGGTTGAGTTCCTTGAGCTGAATAATGATTTCACTGGCACAGAGGGTTTGGAACACCATGTGCTGGTCACTAGGGCTGCCAGAAAGCTTCCCATTTTCTATGTTGAGCTGCCAAAGAAGGGTGGATTGGGTTGTACCACTTCTGTAGCATCCGTTTCTCTTCTCTCATCATGGCCCCCCTTGTTTTGGATCAGTTAACGACCTGGATAAGCTGGACGCCTTTCGTGCATTTGCCTTTGTCGTTGAGATGAGAAACACAGGACTGTAATTTCACTTGAGCCATACAACACATTTCCACATTAGGATGTATTAGCATCATCAAGCGTGTTTTTGTTTAGAACTAAGACCTGTAAGTCAGTCTAGGTTAAGGCAAGTCTAGATAGTCTTTGCTTCTTTTTCTTTTAGCGATGGATTGTATTGTCAAACTAGAGATGAAGTGGGCAAATGTACGATCTGGGCTGTTCTGTTGAGGGAACGATCATGCATTTACACACGGACATTGGGTACCGTGTTCACACCATGATGTGAATCGCTAGGTTGCAAGAACTTTTCTGGTGTTAAGTTTATAGAAAATGTATAAAAGAAATTGTTTGAAGTTTTGGTTATATTTTTATATTTGTAAAGTAAAAGCTTGAAATAGTCATTGTTGCTTTTAAATTTTGTTTCACTGTCATTTCAATAATAAAAAAGGGGAAAAAAAGCATTCAAACAATGATTGACTGCCTTGAGATGGTCCTCTGCTTGAGGCCGCTGAGCTGCGAGCTGGCGGCCCCTGGGTCCGTGCCGTCTCAGTAAGTAGCAGACAGCTTGGCACACCAGTGAGAACCTGAAGGTGGACACAGCTGAGCCTCAGTGTCCTGAAACGTAACGAGAGCACTGGATTTGGAACGTGAAGACTAGAATTTAGACATGGCCACACCAGCCGTCTTGGTACCTCTGGATTGGCGGTATTACCTGGGACTCCAGGTATTACCTGGGACTCCAGCAAAGTTGCTCAGAAGTCATGCTGCTGACGTCATATTTTGTATGTGTGCATCTTAAATTGAAATAGCGTGCCCAAAATCACAGCAGTCATACGTGTGCGATGAAACCATAGCCTTGAGGTTTCGTATCTGAACAAAAGTTGGGACGAAGCCTAATGAAGTTATTGCAAGACTTCTCTGAAATTTTACTAGCATTTTTATAGGGGCACCAAGAATCAGTGAAAATCAAGTATGAAAAAAAGGCTAAACATTGAGATATATCCATTAATTTAGATGCTTTTTCCTTTTTGAAATCTTGAAGCGTCACTTGTGTTTCCTGTGCTAGATTCAGTGGTAGAAAAACATAGCGAGTGAAATGCCAGCATTCCTCAGGAATACATTTAAAGCTACCAGATTCTGTTCCTAGGATTTTGAGACTCTTAACAAAACCAAGCCTTTCTAGCCGAATGATTAAAAAAAAAAAATGAAGTCATAAATATGAGGTGTCAAGTATTTAAAGAAAATGCAAATAGCATTAATTCGTGTCTAGGGCAAACTTCATTTTGTCTGAAACGACACACTACTTACAACGTCAAACCATTTCACAAGAATAGCAAGAAATTCAGTCACTTCTGGGAGTAGAGGACCTACCCAATTTCTCACAAAATTCCAGCTGTAAATCATACTCTAACATGAAGGTGAGCTGAGGAGCCCCTCTACCATCCATCATGAACGTCCCTGGCGCTTTCTTGTGCTAACGGGCCCGTTCCCCAGTGTGGCCTCCCTGCCATACTTGGAGCTCAGCCAGCACAGGTAGGTAGTCTAGTGTAACCACCTTGGCCATGGTACGCATCTGTCCTTTCTGTGCACCTCTGCACCCTCCCCTGCTCTTATGGAGTAGGATGCAGATCAGAAGTGGGCGTTGACTTCAGAGGGCAGGATTAAGTCTTGTCAAGGCGTCCTTGAAACAAGATATGGCTAACTTCTTAGAGTTGTTAAATGTTGTAGAGTTGTTTGCAACTCATAGCAACCCTCTGCACAACAGAAGGAACTTGTGCCTGGGCCTGCGCTATCCTCACAGTTGTTCCTATGCTGGAGCCCATTGGTGCGTGCAGCCGGCTCCGTCTATCTGCTTGAGAGCCTTCCTCTCCTTCACTGCCCCTCTGCTTGACCAAACGTGATGTCCTCCTCCAGGGACTGGTTGCTCCTGACAACATGCCCAAAGTACTGTTGAAATCTCTCCGTCCTCGCCTCCAAGGAGCACTCGCCACTCCTCTTCCAAGACATGTTTGTTCATGTGTTCTCGATAGTCTTCTCCAGCACCACAACCCACATGCACTGATTCTTCTCTGTGT